GTTGGTTGTTTTAAATGCCCTGTACTTTTTGTTGTAGTTTTTGTGTTTCCCCTCCTTGGGTTTGTGCGCCGCCCTGAGTCCTGCTGGGAATAGGGCGGCATATAAATAAAATGAACCTCGAACCTCGAACCTAACAAATTTAGAGGAATTCCAAATCAGGGAAAGCAAATATACAGGCATGAAAGAAAGGCAAAGAGGTTCATGGAAGATTCATATATAAAAGCATCTATCTCGTTTAAACACAGAACACGGGACACTCACCATTTTCTCTGTTTTGCTGAGATTGATATCCTTCTTGTTCTTCCGCCGGGCTTTAGAGTCTTCAATGTCAATCAGCCTGATTAAAGGCATTGTTCCTCCACCCAGCAATAAGATTGTGAACAGCACAATGATGATTGTGGTAGTGCCAATCAACTGCCGCTTCTCAATTGGTTCCAGGCCCAAGTGGAGGCTCAAGGCATAAGGAATTGCCCCACGTAAGCCTAGTTAATGGGGAGGAACACAGGGGACATATATAAGCATTCCTCAGTCTCTATAGAAATAATATTCTTCAAAGCTATCAAAATGATGGTTTCTTTGTTTGCTATTTCAAGATTAAGGGACAAGCATCCTTGTTTAGGGTAGCCTAGAAGGAATTGCTTGCAGTGAAGTATTTATTGGCACAAAGCTATATCACTTCTACCTTCAAAACCATTCATTCCTCCACTGTGTCTCATCACCACTGAAATCTGCCTTATACTGCTTTAGACTTTTGTTTCTTCTATACCCAAGATCAATCTTCTCCAGAGATGGGAAGTCTTTTTGCCCTAATGGGTCTATGTGGCATTCAGCAATGGACTGGAAATAAACTTATATGCAAATATATTGACACATAAATGCAGAGCTATCTACCTCCCAGGCAGCCCTTTCTCCATTTAAACTGAATTTCCAACTGCCTGCCAAGATAAAGTGTTTGTGTGCTGGGCAAAACCTGGGAGGGAAATGTATCCTTTCACATGCTATCAATGGCTAAGGAGGTATAGGAGAAGAACGATGATGGGCTTGAGAAAAAAGAGACATGTGGCTTTGAAGGTATCATGTGGCTCATGAGTGATCATATGTCCATGGATGACTTGGGACAAAAGTTCCATCTTAGACCAACAGAAGTCTCTCTCATTAGATTTTTCCCTCCTTGAAATTCCATATTCTTGAACTCGAAATTCTGAATTCCCAGCTATTTTTGCAAATTTGCTAGGACAATATAGAAATTATTTTTACAATACTTCTTCTTCTTGTGCCATATCCATCATTGGATGCTGACAATCATGTTGGCAATCCTATTTTTGTCAACAGCCACATGAAAAAGTGCTGCTGAGTTTTACAATACATCTAGATAAGATCATGTAGGGGAAAGCTGAATTACTTCCTATTTTATGCAAAACAGCCAATGCAGAATTAGAAATGTGCAATGAAAGATTTATCTCTATCCCAAACATTTTTTTCTCCTGAACAATTAGAGACAATTCCTTTGTGTAGTGGGAAACATCAATAAATCAATCCGTCGAAAATAGAGAAAATGAAAGTTTCTTATGCAGAAACTCAGCATATAGTTTTAACATGATCTTATGAAGACCCAGTTAACAATTACGATGCTATATAGAACAATGCCCAAGAATGAAAATGACAAAAACTTACCACTAAACCACATGATGAACATCATTTTCGGAGTGATCTTGTGATCACGGAAGAAATTGAGCAAATAAGAGAGGGGGAAAATATTGACTGCTCTACCAAAAAGGACAAGCACCTGTCAAAAAAGAAGCAAAATTGAGCTTTTAATAAGAGAAGTAACAATAGGAAAATGGGGACTGGGATTCGTAACCTCTTTATGAGTCACCCCTATATTAGCATCTAGGACAGTGATGGCTATCCTTTTTGCTATCGCGTGCCAAAAGTGGGGGGAGCGCTGGGGGTGGGGGTCATGCGCGGGTGTGCTCACACCCATAATTTTATGTGCCCTCCCCCTGCCCACGTGACCTCACTCAACCTCCCCCAAGCTTTTGGCACGTGATGGCACGGTGGACCCATTTCTCACCCTCCCCAGGCTCCAGAGGCTTTCTAGGACCTGGGCCTGGTAGGTCCATTTTTCGTCCTCCAAAGGCTTCAGGGAAACCTCCTGAAGTGTCCGAAGGGTGAAAAATAGCCCAACATGCAAACTGGAAGTTTGGGAATGGACTTCTGGCTTGTCCGTTGGGATGTTTTTCTTTCTCCAGAGGCTTCAGGAGGCTTCCCTGAAGCCTCTGGAGAGTGAAAAACAGCCCAATGCGCAAACCGGAAGTCTGCTCATGAACCTCCGGTTTGTGCATTGAGCTGTTTTTCACCCTGCGAAAAACGGCTGAAAATCATGGCTGAAATCAGCTGGCCAGTGCGCGTATGCACAGAGGAACTGACAAGGCAACACTTCGCGTGCCCTCAGAAATTGGTCCACGTGCCATAGGATCTAGAGCTAATATAGAAACAGTATGCTACTTTAGGTAGCCCTTAGTCAGATTCAACAGGACTGGGTTGACCTTAGTAACATACTCATTTTTCTTTTCTCAATTATGTTGCATCCCTTATATATCTATGCTTATCTTTTATTTTATTCTTATTTGGGGAGGGGCAAACCCTGAATTTGCTATCCCAAAGGTGCCTTTCCAAGAGGCAATTGGACTTTCTGGTTTTTCTTTGGAGATGTTTTGTTTCTCATCCAAGAAGCTTCTTCGGCTCTGAAGAAGCAGAAAACTCAGAAAATACAGTTGCCTCTTGAAAAAGCACCTTTGGGACAAACCTGACCTGGATGACTGATATCCTCCATAGACCTCAATGTGCTACTTTATAATGGCTCCTGACGATGAGAGAAAGCTTAAAGCATGGTTAAGGAATTATTAAGCTAAGGCTCTAGTCCACTGTAAATTCACTTGACAACAAATAAAAACAGAAGGTCTTAGCCCTCAAACAAACTTGCATGAGAGCATACTATGTAAGAGAGGGAAGAAAAGGAGCAAATTCATATCAGGTTGTATTCAGTTCAAAGAGCTGAATTTCTTTAATTCTGGGTGTTTTATACAGACAGCCGTCGACTTATGACAACAATGGAGCTCAACATTTCTACTGCTAAGGAAGACAGTTGAGTTAGTTTTGCCCCATTTTATGACCTTTCTTGCCACAGTTGTTCAGTGAATCACTGCAGTTGTTAGGAGTAACAGGATTGTTAAGTGAATCTGGCTTCCCCGTTGCCTTTGCTTGTCAAAAGGTCACATGATCACATGACTCCAGGACACTGCAACCATCATAAATATGAGTCAGTTGCCAAAAGTCTGAATTTTGATCACATGACCACGGGGATGCTGCAACGATTGTAAGTGTGAAAAATGGTCACAAGTCATTTTTTTTCAGTGCCCTTGTACCCTGTTTCCCTGAAAATAAGACCTCCCTGGATAATAAGCCCAATCGGGCTTTTGAGCGCATGCGCTGAAATAAGCCCTCCCCTGAAAATAAGCCCTTCCCCAAAATATTGCAACACAGCAGCAGCCATGAGGTGACCATGCTCACCTTAAAAATAATAAGCCCTCCCCGAATATAAGGCCAAGTGCTTATTTGGGGGGGGGGTCAAAAGAAAATAAGAGCCTGTCTTATTTTCGGGGAAACATGGTAACTTCAAAAGGACACTAAACAAAACATTGTAAGTTGAGAGCCTGTATCATCTTTTATTTTGCTGTGAGCTGCTCAGCATTATGCCTTTGAGATTGATGACTATATAAATTGAAATAGATAAACAGAATATGTAAGGTACATAAATGCACATCACTTTTACTCATTACTTATGAGTTTACAGGTAATTCCTAACTCGGAAGTCCTGGAAGTAAAATGCTAGACCAAATTAATATTAGCCTGATTCCATGAGGTAGTGTTTGCACTCATCTAGCAATTAGCCTCCTCTACTGAGGCATTTCTTTCTGGCCTTGGCTGCCTCAGAATGAATAATAAATAAAGTGGAAATACAAAGATGCCTTGTAACTGACCAGAGTTTGCTGAATACTAACATGCCAGGAGAAGAGCTATGCTAGTCTACACTAACCAAAAGTTTAAAAAGAATTTAACGCTTAAAATTATCAAATGTTGTTATAAGGTTATATGCAGTTCAATGTCACAGAGTTATATGGCTAACCCCTCCTCTTAAGTTTTAAGACTGCTATGCAAATCAATGAACATCCTGGATAACAGTGACTATTAGTGTACAAGCGGTTTAACCTCAAAATCGACCACTGTTCACCAAGAAGACAGTGTCCAATGACAAAATAATGTCCTATACACCCATTGGCTCTTGCAGAAGAACCTAAATTGACTTTTAAGAGTCATTTTCATAGCTCCTTTAGAAAGCTATTGTCTCCAGTGAAGGAAGAGGTGGTTTAGTTTGTGTTATTGTACTATACATACACATTGCATTGTTTTTAAAATTGTAATCCAGCTAGAGTCCAATAAGCAGGCAGCGTGCAAATTGTTGCAATAAATAATAAATAAATTGGAGTTCTCTGGGACACAGTATATACACCTTCTTGCCAGAATTGGGGTCAGGTGAAACAAATAAACTCTACTATAATTTGATACCTACTATGCACCAGATGACAAAGGACATTTCAAACTTGTGAGGAAAGCTAAAAATTGACAAGCCCAGAAATGCAAAAACACATGTTTCTGAAAGAGAAAAATAAAAAATGAGTATTCACAAAATACCACACTGATCATTCAAGTCCCTATCTTTAATTTTTTTAAAGTTCAGTAAAATGTTTGAAGCAGATACAGTCTCTTACATTCCTAAATTACGTAACAAAGAAAGAGAAATGCTCAAAATGCCGATATACATAACCTGTTTCTTTCAAAAGGAAAAGGACGGACTAGGATAGGAGTGTCAAACTAAAGGCCCGGGGATTGAATCTGGCCCACAGCGTGCTTAGATCTGGCCCACAGGGCTACCCTGGAAACAGCGAAGGACTGGCCTGCAGTGCCTCTGCCAGTGAAAATGTTGCTCAGGAGGGCCGCACACGCCCCCACCCTAAGCTCCATTTTCATTGGCAGAAGGTTGCAGAAGGCTGTCGCAGCCGAAAATGGAGCTCAGGAGCCCATTTCCTCTGGCACAGCGCTCAGGCCACCACAGGCTACACCCACCCTGGCTATGCCCCCCATCCCCCACCCTGAGATCAAACACAACCCTGATGCGGTCCTCAATGAAATAAAGTTTGACACCCCTGAACTAGGAGATTCTTCTCTCAATGAGTTATTGCTTTCAGAAGGTCTGGGCCTAGTCCAACAGAAACGAAGCTTCTTCAGCAGGGTTCTATTAAAACCTAGCATTTGCTGCATAAAGTTTAGCAATGGAGCACAGATTTTACAAAGATAAAAGACTAAAAAAACACACACACACATATGTAACTGGCTAACAGTGATGATTGGAGTCTGCAACAAAATATTGCAGTATGATTTGTCTTGCCAGCAAAGTATACATTTTTTCAGGATCTCCTGTTTCCTGCAGCTATTTCCTCTTTTCCTCTCTTAACAGATGTTCAACCTTCAGTGCTCCTGCATTTTAAACATCAGAAAGCAATATTCAGATCCAATATTAATTTGGCTTTAATAGCTCAGTGAAAGACAAGCAGCATCTTCAATGATGGGACAAACCACAAGTCTGTTTCCCACATGTTCTGGTCATGTGTCTCCTGGTAGTACCTAGCTGGCTATTGTGAAACACAGCTAAAGAAAGGATCAGTGAAAATGTGATCTAGTCTAGCAATACAGGTTTTGTGCTTGCGTTATCTTTTTTTGTGTGGCACTGCCTCAGATTCCTGCATCCATGAAATTGTAAGATTTTTTTTTCACCTCTGGCCCTATCATTATTACTGTATTTAGCTTAATATTTTCTGAATAATAAATGCATTTTTAAACAAATGCCAGCTAAGAAAGGACAGAGTACAGAGAACCACATGAATATATTGCCTGTAATTTTCCCCCTTTTCAAATAGCTTCCTCCTACTGTATCCATAATCCTTTAATGGAAATGAAGGCATGTTGCCTCTCTATCATCTAAAAGTACCCTGGAGGCGAGAAAAAAAGTCAAAGAAATCCATTTTGTTATTAATCTTGTGGCAAGACTTAGCCAGAGCTTGGAGGAGAAAGAAGGACAAGATTTACAGCACATTTTATCCCCCTTGTCAGTAAAGGTGACTTTTCTGCTTGGCGGACTCTATATTAGTAGGTCTGTTCTGAGAACTGAGGTGAAGAAATGCTCCTGCCATTAAACAGCTTTGCTTCCTCTTACCCATAATTCACGTTCTGAATGTCTTTGAAATCACACAAAAAAAGATCAATCAATGATTACAAATTGTAATGTTTAAGGCTGCAATGGTATGCATGCTTAGTTGGAAGTCCTATTGGATCAAATGGGACCTATCTGAATGGTTATACAAAAGTCGTAATGTAAAATCTCCTTCTGAACCAAAGCAAGGAAAGCAAAGTGCTGCCATCTGCTGAGATATATGCTGCAACCTTCAAAACTATTTTTTTAAATACATTTATCTGGCCAGGAGCATCTGAGACAGGGGTGTCAAACGCACTGCATCGCGTTGTCGTCCTGTGACATAGCACAGCTTCTCTCCCTTCACTAAACTGGGGATGGGTGTGGCCAGCACATGATACATCCAGTCTGTGGGCTGCAAGTTTGACACCCCTGAGACATTAGACCAGATGAGGGAGGAGGAACTCAAGAATGAGTTAGTCCTCACAGGAACTGATAGGCATCTTCCAGACAGACACTCCCCAATCTTGCAGGTATTGCTGACACACTTCCCGAATTATTTCGTTATTGTCCTGGATGAGTGCAGGTTTATTATACTTCAGCCACACCTGCAGAATTGCAAGTTTCCCTCAAACATGGACAAGAGAAAAATATTTTGATTTGATCCATAAACTGATTTCATTTCATTTCATTTATTA